ACTGAGATGATGCAATATTAGCCTTTAATTGCATCACTTCACTGCATAAAAGCTGCAGTATCTGTAGCTGATTGTAGTTCGACAGCGTCTTTACATCTCGTTTTATGCTTATATAGGCTACTCAGTAATGCCTCGAACTTGTGTGAATAAAGCAGATAATTTCTGCTATATCTGCGGTGAAATAACTTTTATCTCACAAAAAAGGAGGATAACAGGAATGATTAAGAAAGCCTACAACTTGTATTTTGGCTGCAAGATAGGAGACCAGGACAAGAGCTGGGCACCACATATATGCTGCAATTCTTGTGGGACGGCACTGGAGCAATGGTTGAATGGAAAAAAGGCATCTATGCCTTTCGCTGTGCCAATGATTTGGAGAGAGCCAACAGATCATGTTAGTAATTGTTACTTTTGTATGGTGCCTCCAACAAAAGGGCTAAATAAGAAGAAAAAGTTATCTGTGCACTATCCAAATATTCCATCGGCAATACGTCCAGTTCCTCATGGAGAGGGGCTACCAATTCCTAAAGCACCAGAATCCTTCGTGGTTGAGTCAAGTGAGGAAGAACCTGAAGCGTGTAGTCATCAACCGTCAACCTCACATGACCCAGACTTTCTTCCATCCACACCCACTGAACCACACCTCATTACACAAGTGGAATTGAGCGATCTTATCAGAGACCTGGATCTTCCGAAGAACAAGGCAGAGCTTTTGGGGTCAAGACTACAACAGTGGAATCTCCTAGCAAGTGATGTTCGTACGTCTTTCTACCATCATCGTCAGAAAGATCTGATCCCATTCTTCGTCCAGGAAGGTGATATTGCTGTATGTAACAATGTTCATGGTTTAATCTCAGCCATCGGCGTATGCTATGATCCCGATGAGTGGAGGCTGTTCATTGATGCTTCAAAGGCGAGTCTTAAAGCTGTTTTGCTCCATAATGGCAATCAGCTGCCGTCAGTTCCAGTTGCTTACGCAGTTTCAATGAAAGAAACGTATGAAAACTTGAAAGAGCTTTTAAGGTGCATCAACTATGATGAACATCAATGGTCGATTTGTGGTGACCTGAAGGTGATTGCTATCCTACTTGGACTTCAAGGTGGATATACTAAGTACTGCTGCTTCCTCTGTGAGTGGGACAGTCTTGCGAGAGAAATGCTCTATGCCAAAAGAGACTGGCCATTACGCCAGTCATTGCAGCCTGGAGAAAAAAATGTTAACTATCCAGCACTTGTAGACAGCAATAAGATCTTATTACCTCCATTACACATCAAGTTGGGATTAATGAAAAACTTTGTTAAGGCAATGGACAAGAATAAAGCAGGTTTCAAGTGCCTGATTAGCAAATTTCCAGCACTTAGTGCTGCAAAAATAAATGAAGGAGTCTTTGTTGGGCCACAGATTCGTAAACTTATTCATGATGATGAGTTTCTTTCTCTGTTGCCTGGAAAGGAAAAGGCTGCCTGGACAGCATTTGTATCAGTGACATCAAATTTTCTTGGAAACAATAAAACACCAGACTACAAGAAAGTGGTAGAAAAACTCATCCAGACTTACAGAAATCTGGGTTGCAACACATGTCTCGAAAAATTCATTTTCTACATTCGCATCTGGATTTTTTCCCACCAAACTGTGGAGCAGTGAGTGATGAACACGGAGAGCGCTTCCATCAAGACATTGCAGCTATGGAAAGAAGATATCAAGGTAAATGGAGCCCATCAATGCTTGCTGACTATTGCTGGACAGTTGTAAGAGATAGCCCTTTCCTCGAATACAAGAGAAAAGCCAAGAGAAGCAAAACCGACACAAACTGAAGACAAAACTAGTGAGAATCCTAAGTATTAAAATGATTCAACTTAGCTTATGGCTATAATTTTTCTTGGTAATCCTATGCAATATATTATGCCATTTAGGCTTTGTTATGTAGTCAATATCACTTGCTTTATATTTGTGGAAAGACATCTATCTATATAATTATTGTGCATTATGTAGTCATTACGCCTATAGTAGAAAACTTTCCGTTTACAGAAAAACTAGAGCCAATTGACAAATTTCATTGTTATATTTGAACTCAGAATGTGAAATTCATTAAGAAATGGATCCTTTTGTTTCCAAAACTGGCAAAAAATAAAAATTTGTTGAACAGTGCAATCACCAATGGGGAGGAAGACTGTTTTGTTTAGAAATGAATAAAGATGGTGTAGCGCTGTGTGTGCTGTGATAAATTAAATTAATTGATGCCAAGCAATAATAATGTGAATAAATATAGATAATAATGTGACTCTGTGTATAATCAATATACTTATTACAGATATATAAAGTGTAACATAACCCAAAAAATACCTTTTAGAAATTGCTAATAATTGCAATCAAAGTGACCAAATTATACACGTGACAATAATAAATGACAAAAAGTCCCAAGTGAAAAAATAAAAATAAAAAAATGTTTTAATAAAAATGCAGATTTTTATTCTTCTACTTTATATTGCGTGCTCATACAAATGGTGCCAATCTATGTGTCACCTTCTGGCGCGTGCGCTCACCTCACAATTTTGACCATCGAGGAGTCATAAAGCAATTAAGATCACCGGATGATCCCAGGAAGGATGGATCTCTCCCTTTGATGGACACAGGAACAGCTGCTCCCACCGAAATAAAAAAATGGTCAAAAACACCTTCAGGGGATCTTCAATGGCTCAAAAAAGAAGTCAGAAAGAGAACTTCTATAGTGTAGCAATTTAGTATTTATTGGTAAAAATCACAATGCCAAGAGGCTACTCACAATAAAAATGAGGGTCACAGACCCATCAGGCATGTACTGTGTAACCCAGTCAGGTGTACATACAAGGAATCCCAAGACGGCGAATGCTGTCCATACGTAATGCTGTCACCAAGCTCTAGTCCGACGCTTTGCGTCACACTACCATGTGACTTCTTCAGGGCCTAAATTTGGCCTAAATTTATGATGAAATTTGATTTTTTTCATTTTTTTACTGGACATGTTTAACCTCCCTGGCGGTCTGATTATTTCAGATTTTTGGTGCTGAAAGCGGTACCATTATTTTGCATGGAAATATGTAGTTTTTTTATTGTAGGCTGTAATTTTTAGGAATAACTCACTGAAATCTGTCCGAACAAGAGTCTTGTAAACATGATAAAATTTGAAACACGAAATCAAAAATTATAATTTAATAAATAATCATAAAAAATAATAATAAATTTAATTCAATAATATAATCAAACCAAAAACACTGAAATTTGAAATGGAGCGCCAAGTTCGCACATTGCTGAGCAAAGTCGCAAAATCGTTTTCAGTGTCTGATGACGAATTTTCCCCACGAATCATTATCACTCAATTCTGCAAGTGGTTCTGATTTACTATCGCTGTTCTCTAGCCTGGTCTAAAACCGCTTTTGACCTAAAGGGACGCTTTTTGGACGCCATGGACTTTTCTAAGTTTCCAGGCAGAAAGAACAATCAAAATGCAGGCAGGGAGCAGGACAAAGCACTCGGGACAAAATGTATGTGAAATGCTTTGAAACAGCAATGTTTTGCTTGTAATATTTGTTTACAAATAAATGACAGTTTTTGAAATTTTTTAATTTGCCGCTGGTTCCGGCGCCTGTACGTCCCGACGTCACAGGGATCGGAACATGGAAGCGTCCTTGGGGGTGCCGGCATCTTCCGGATGAGATGGCCGGGGACGCTGCAGGAGGGACATCGTGGGACCGAAGGACAAGGTAAGCGCTGCAGGAAATCCCTGAACAACGCCGCATGGTATTCCTGAGTGTAGCTCGGGGTTACCGCTTTTGGTACTGAAACTCTACCCCAAGCTACACTCGGGAATACCCAAGGAGGTTAATAGCAAAAAGTCCAAAATATGTTTTTTTTCTCAAAATTGTCTGTCTTTTTTTGCTTATAGCGCAAAAAAATGCACAGGTGACCAAATACCACTGAAAGAAAGCTTAATCTGTGGGAAAAAAAATGTAATTTCGGTGCAATGTTGCATGACCGCGCAATTGTCAGTTAAAGTAATGTAGCGCCGTAATGCAAAAAATGGCCTGGTCAGGAAGGGGGGTAAATCCTCTGGAGGGCAAGTGGTTAAAGTGTTACTAAAGGCAGATATACTCACCTACTCTGTGCAATGGTATTGCGCAGAGCGGCCCTGATCCTCATGATCAATAAACAATGTATTGCATGCTGTTCATACTCATTCAGTCACTATGGGATTCGTTTTCTGTATTCTGCAAAAACCTGCTGTTGTCTGTCTCCCCATTCTATCCATGTCCCCAGTGAAGTTGGGGACTTTGCAGAGCAGTGTTGGCAGCTCTGAACATGCATGTTATACTCACCTGCTTTTGTATCAATAAACTCTTCTAAATCATCATACAAATATATATTTGAAATCAAATCTTTATTATTTTTGGCAATAACATGAATCGCTAGGAGGATCAGGGCTGGTCTGTGCAATACCATTGAACAGAGCAGGTGAGTATAACATGTTTATTATTTTAATTAGAAAAAACAAATCTGCCTTTAGTAACACTTTAACCCCCCTTGCCCTCCAGAGGATTTACACCCCTTCCTGACCAGGCCATTTTTTGCTTTATGGCTCCGTGTTACTTTAACTGACAATTGCGCGGTCATGCAACGCTGAACCCAAATTAAATTTACGTCCTTTTTTCCCCACGAATAGAGATTTCTTTCAGTGGTATTTTATCACCTATTCGTTTTTCAGTTTTGGCGCTATAAACAAAAAAAGGCTGACAATTTTGAGAAAAAAATATTTTTGACTTTTTGCTTGTGTCTGGTAAAAAAAAAAATCTAATTTCGTCACAAATTTAGGGGAGAATGTATTCTGTTCCATGTCTTTTCAAAAAAAATTCCAATACGTGTATACTAATTGGTTTACGTGAACGTTATAGCGTCTACAAATGGCTTTGTATATATACTGGGATTTGTTTTTTTTTTCTACTTGTAATGGCAGCGATCAGTGACTTATAGTGGAACTGCGGCGGGCATTCTGACACTGGGGTGGGAACTGACTTGGTGTCACTGACATTCCCAGTGACACCAATACAGTGATCAGTGCTAATAAAAAACACTGACACTGTACCAATGACACCGGGCAGGAAGAGGTTAACATCTAGGGGTGATCAAAGGGTTAACTGTGTGCTGTGTGTGTTTTACTATGGGGGCTGTGTCTGTGCTTTCCACTGTAAGCACACTGCTTTGTATGGCTCTGCATGGAGCTGACAGGGGAGAGAACTGTATTGTTTACATAAAGTTCTCTCCCCCCATCGGTATTATTTGGCGATTTCCGGGTGTTTTCTTTTGGTGGTATTTAATCACAACTGGGTTTTTTATTTTTTGCTAAATAAATGAAAAAAGACTGAAAATTAAAAAAAAAACACGTTTTTCTTTGTTTCTGTTCTAAAATTTTGCAAATCTTTTTTCATAAATTTAGGCCAAAATCTATTCTGCTACATTTCTTTGGTAAAAATAAGCCCAAATCAGTATATATTATTTAGTCTGTAGGGAAGTTTGAAAGTCCACAAACTATGGTATATATCTGAAAACGAATCATTCCTGATCTACTAGTGGCCGATCTCATTTCTTGAGGCCCAAAAACACCAGGACACTAAATAAAACCCCCAAATGACCCCTTTTTGTAAAGTAGACAGTCCAAGGTATTTAGTAAGAGGCATGGCGAATCAAATTCAAAATCCTAACACTGACGTACAAAGCCGTCCACCATACTGCCCCGAACTACATCACTGACCTAATATCCAAGTACCACCCAGCACGCACACTCCGCTCCTCACAAGACCTCCTTCTCTCTAGTTCCCTGGTCTCCTCCTCTCATGCCCGCCTCCAGGACTTCTCCAGGGTGTCACCCATCCTCTGGAACTCCCTGCCCCAACCAATCAGATTATCACCTACTCTCCCCTCCTTTAGGCGCACCCTGAAAACCCATCTCTTCAGGGAAGCCTACCCCACCCCCTGCTAACTTGCCGACCTCCTCCACTCTTCCTACCACCCCATCCCCCACAGCTATCTCCTCCTGTACCACCATCCCCTCCCTCCTAGATTGTAAGCTCCAAAGAGCAGGGCCCTCGATCCCCTCATGTTTTGCATTGTATTGGTATTGTTCTGTCACATGTTCTGTCCCCCTTTGTAATGTACAGCGCTGAGCGAACTATTGGCGCTTTATAAATACTGTATAATAATAATAATAATAATAATGGCAAGTTTTTTTGAAGTTGTAATTATTGGTCACAATTTTGGGGAAAATTAAGAAATTTAAAAAAAATAGTTTTTTTCCACAATTTCTTTTTTACATTAAACAGTGTGTGTTTACTATCACTTTAATTACTCCCCCCGCCCCACCCCCCCCCCCATTGCTCCTGAGCAACTGCTGTTAAAGCAGAAATCCAAGAAAATTTGTTTTTGCCCGTGCAGTGGGGCTGTGCTGGCACTGCGTGGGTTAAATGCTTTTGGCTCCAATTTTGAGAAAAAAACAATACTTTTGACTTTTTGCTATTAAACATGTCTAGTAAAAAAATCTAATTTCTTCATAAACTTAAGCCAAAATGTATTCTGCTCCATGTCTTTGCTAAAAAAAAAATCCCAATACGTGTAAATTATTTGGTTTATATGAAATCTATAGCATTTACAAATGGCGGTATATATACTGGGATTTTTTTTTTTTTATACTAGTAATGGCGGTGATCAGCGACTTTTTTTGCAGGCATTCTGACACTGGAGGGGAACTGACTAACTGCCACTGACATCCCAATGACACTAATACAGTGATCAGTGCTAATAAAAAGCACTGACACTGTACTAATGACACTGGGCAGGAAGGGGTTAACATCTGGGGGGATCAAAGGGTTAACTGTGTGCTGTTTTACATGATGTGTTGTGTGTGTTTTACTAGGGAGACACGCTGTGTAGAGAAATACACAGCAGCATGTCCTTGCTGGCAGGAGAGAGACCTGGGTTGTTTACACACAGGTCTCTCCTCGTCAGTTTTACGCAGCGATCGGTGATTGACATCTGTAGCCGTCAATGTCGGTGTGGGTAGGGTGGCGCACGTGCAAATCATGTATATATATATATTTGATTTTGCGCAGCTCTACATCCCTGTAGGAGTACTTCTACTATAAGGCAGCGGGCAAGCGGTTAAGCTCCCTGAAAAATATATGTATCCACAATTTTAAGTGGCATTCATTTTCTGTATTCTGCAAAAAACCTGGTTGATCCTGCTGTTCAATGTCCCACCTTCCTGCTGCAGCCTGAGATTGTGTAGACTAGCTGTTGCCACATCTACTGAGCATGCTCCAGTGTCAGTTCCCTTTTAAGCTGTTCATTTTCTCCTTTTTCTTATCTGTGCAGCCCACATGACTATAGACTCACACAGATGGGTGTATACACTCCGGATAAATGACAGCCCACTTTCGCTCTCCTCCTCCATGGCCAATAAACAATTGTACACTATGGGGGCAGGATACTACGTGTTAATTGGTGGAGGCATCACCTTCCTGTAATTCTAAGCATATACAAAAAATAAACACATATTGGAGGGGCGTGAAACAGGCTGGGACTGGCAGAGCCTCCCCCTAGATAACCCACACCATGTTTTTGCACAAAAATAAGAAAGATTTGAGTTCAAATACATATATGTATGACACTTTAAAACATTTATTTGATATTACTTTTATATTTTTCATTGGTATTCCAAAGGCTGTTTTTTTTTAAACATGCGACCTGCAGCAGAGGACTAAAAGCTCCTCCCACCAATGTTTCCACCAACTGGGCAACACATTGGCTAAGTGGTTAGACCTTCTGCCTGGCAGTACTAGGGTAGTCGGTCCAAGTCCCACCCATGACACCACCTGCCTGGAGTTTGCATGTTCTCTCTGTGCCTCTGTGGGTTTCCTCCAGATACTTTGGTTTTCTCCCACACTCCAAAGACATGCTGGTAGGTTAATTGGCTCCTGTCTAAATTGGCCCTAGTATGTGTATGTATGGATGTAAGTTAGGGACCTTAGATTGTACACCCCTTGAGGGTTAGGAACTGATGTGAATGTACAATATATACGTAAAGTGCTGCGTAAATTGATGGTGCTATATACAGATGATATAAAAAATCTTCACACCCCTCTTAAAATGTCAGGTTTCTGTGATGTATATTGTACTGACTCCTATTCAACATGATTTTGAATGTGATTGCTTAATTCTGAGCACAGCTACATCCCCAGTTATAAGAGGGTGTGCACACTTATGCAACCATATTATTTTCATTTTTCATTTTTACTTACCTACACCTAAAAGATTTCAGTTTGTTCTTCAACTGAGTTGTACAATTTATAGGTTACATTAAAGGTGGAAAAAGTTCTGAAATGATTTATCTTTATTTTTTTTACATCACAGAAACCTGACATTTTAACAGGGGTGTGAAGACTTTTTATATCCACTGTAAGTACCTGAAGTAATAATAATGTTTCCCTGCAGATGGGCTGGGAGTCATGTGACAGCTGTACATTGAATATGAAAAAAAGGTAATTCGATTTTTTTTTATTAAAATAAATACTGTGCCATTATCCATATACCTGTACATAAAGAGAAGGGATAATGTTGACTAAACAATGAATCTTTAGTATCACTTTAATAGTGTATGAAAAGAGGTTTAATCCTAAAGTGTGAAAGGGAATCTTTACTGTTACAGCAGTGATAATGTGGAACTCTCTTCTCCAGAATTATTTATTTTATTTTTTTTCAGGTACTTATATAGCGCCGTCAATTTACGCAGCACTTTACATATATATTGTACATTCACATTAGTCCCTAACCCCCAAGGGGCGTACAATCTAAGGTCCCTAACTCACATTCATACATACACATACTAGGGACACTGTAGACAGGATCCAATTCACCTACCAGCATGTCTTTGGAGCAGGGGCGGACTGACAACTCATGGGGCCCCCGGGCAATAGGGGATCATGGGGCCCCTGTGTCCTTGCCCAAACTGAAAAAAGTCTATCAAAAAGGTACCAGGGGCATCTCATGGGGCCCTCTACTGACCCCGGGCCCTCGGGCACTGCCCGAGTTTCCAAATGGTCAGTCCACCCCTGCTTTGGAGTGTGGGAGAAAATCAGAGTACACAGAGGAAACTCACGCAGGCTCAGGGAGAACATGCAAACTCCAGGCACCTGGTGCCGTGGTTGGGATTTAAACCAATGACCCTAGTACTGCCAGGCGGAAGTGCTAACCATTTAACCACTGTGCTAGCATATAGGGTTCAACACTTCAAAAAACTATTAGATATCTTCCTCAGTCAACATAATATTCATGGCTATGGGAATAATTACATTTGATGGTCATATTATCTGACTGTCAATATAGAATGAGGAAGGCCACATCCAAAGGTTGAGCTAGAAGGACCTGTGTCTTTTTTTCACCCTTATCAACTATTTAACTATGTAATTATGTATGGTTGACATATTTCTGTAATTGCTGTTACCATTATGACAGAAGCTTTCAATGATCAATCAGTTTCACTTTGTTAAAGGATAACTGTACTTTCTTTACAGGTATCCTTTGATCTTCTCCTCCCATAACACCTGATACAGTCTTCTATAGACTTCGGGATCCACCATTGCAAAAGTCTCTTGGCTGGGCAGCTTCTTCTGCATAGAAAAGGAGCGAGCATTAAAGGGGAGTGCAAGGGTAAGTGTTGAAAGTGAGTGAAGAGTTGAACATTGGAAGAGGTGAGAATTGGAGGAGGGATGCCGAGGTCATTGGTGGAAGAGGGAGGCAGGAGTGAGTGTTGGAGCAGAGGGGCAGGGTTGAGCATTTGAAGAAGGGGTATAGGTGATACAGATGTGAACTTTGGAAGGGGGTTCAAAGGTGAGTTTTGAAAGAGAGATGCTGGTGGCCAGAGGTGAACAATGGAGGAGGGATGTCAAAGTAATTGGTGGAAGAGGGAGACAAACGTGAGTGCTGCAGCAGGGGTGGAAGGTTGGGCATTTGAAGAGGGGGGGTGCAGGTAATGCAGAGGGGGGCTTTGGAAAAGGGGTACAGGAAGTAAAAAAGTGAGTGTTGAAAGAGGGATGCAGGGGGGCAGGAGTGAGCTGCGGAAGAGGGGTGCAGGAGTGGGTGTTACAAAGGTAGTGCAGAAGGTTTCAGAGGTAAGTGTTTGAAGGGAGGGGCTTGGGCAGTATTGTAAGAGGGATGACCAATGGTAAGGGGTGCAGGGGGAGTGGTGGTAAACAAAAGATTGCATGTTACATACTCCTGAGCATTGCAAACTGCACTGGACTGGGCTGTATATAACATACTCTGGATCCCTGCACCCAGAGGCTTGGATTGTACCCTACATACCCCTAACCAAAGGAATTATTGTCTCAGCAGTTGCTGCTTGCTAAATAGTACCCAAATCTTTTTTTTTATTGCTGGAATGCAATTAACAAGAACAATGGCCACAATATTTGGCCAACAAGTCAAATCAAGAAAGATAATATACATGTAACGCTACTCCCTTGGGGGCACTAAGTTTTGCATCTCCCCTAAGCTCTGGGCAGCCAGGCAACACGTATTTTCCACACTTGCATCCACAGTCAGTAAACAGTCCACAAGCTCAGTTTTTATTATTTTATTAGGGGAAATAATTTGGATTGGGTAATAGGGATTATGGGATGCCCAACTTGACTGAAGCAATGCACAGGGACAACTTCCTTCCTATGTACAGAGAAAGATTCTGGACTGTTCTCCTCCCTGAATAGGGTCAGTCTTTACGGATCAGTAGCAAAAGCCCTTTACAGACTAAGGACTCTCAGGCCTCCTTTGAAGGTTAGTACAGATTGTTGAGAACTACATGCAGAATTATCTCCTCTCCCCTGTAAACTGTGCCATTGATGAGATCTCCTCAAGCCTGCCCAAGCCCAGCCTGGAGGTAAAGACCCCCTCCTAGGCCACCAACAGCCTTTTCAGCACTCCATCTTCCATCCAACTGTCCTGTTATGGCTTTCCTGTATTTATGGGGATCAGATTCCCATAAATATGCATATTTAGGTCTCCACCTCTTCCACCCACTGGCTTCTGGAAGCTTCCATGGGCCTCCAGAACCAGGTGGAGGCGATAGAGTCCCAACCTGCTGAGTCACCCAGCCTGGCCTGCCATAACCCAACCTAATTACAGACTCACACAGTTACCATGAGTCATAACACATGCATTTACATACTCTAACACTAGTAGCACACTAGATGGTGCTACATACAGTATGTTAGTATAAGTTGAGAGAGACCTAACAGTGCTGGGTTCAGTGCAGGGGCAGACTGACAACTCATGGGGCCCCCGGGCAATAGGGGATCATGGGGCCCCTGTGTCCTTGCCCAAACTCAAAAAAGCCTATGAAAAAGGTACCAGGGGCATCTCATTGGGCCCCCTACTGACCCAGACCATTTCCAAATGGTCAGTCCGGACCTGGTTCAGTGGTGAACATTAAGAAACATTTCAGTGGATGGTGGTTGGACTAGTAAGTAACAAGCAAAAGGAAGAGGAGGAGGCCTCAATTTTTAGATAAGTGCAATTCAAACAAAGAGGGGTGTGGAATGTAAATTGGAGGATCATTGGCTAGGAGTAGATACCATTATAGATTGTTGCGTTTCTACGGGCAAGGCTTAAATGTTGAAGACATTTTTAACCCATAATTCCTTATACAAGGAAGCCTTCACCCATTCCGTGTGAAAAACGTAGCATAATTTAGCTATGTATAAAGAGATAGTAGGGGGTGCCGAGTGGATCCAGCTATGTCAAATAGTTTTCCATGCCACAAGGGATATGATAGTAAGCAGTTGCTTGCAGCCCCTTGAGATTTTAATTGATTAAGCAAAAAAGAGCCCATTCGGGAGTTAGAGGTAGGTTCTTTACTAAGTATGTGGTAATATAATGCACTATGGAGTTCCAGACAGAAACGTTTTTTCCTGGGGAACGACCAAAAAGTATGGTCCAGGC